GACATCCCACTAGCAGGAAACGTGAATAGGCCATTGCAGGGGGAGCAGCACGAACGGGCCATGGGACCAAAGTTCAAACCACTAACTGGCAGAACAATGAGGTGCTGACAACCGATTGATGTAGTAGAAGTGAAACCGCACTCAGGCCGCAGGCAGTTGATGGGAAACTTCAGTGGCAGTATTTGCACTTCATCTTCTCAAGTGCTCAGGGGCCAGAAAAGGGTTTGTAGCGAGGGGGACGGTGAATAGGGCTTGTGTCCGGAGGACTGGCCCCGAAGCCCAAGCACGTGCCCAGCGTGGAGAACTCCGGGAGCAGATGTAATTAGCATTTCTTGAGCACCTACTGGGGACCCGGCCTTCAGCTTGGTACTTCTACCTTGTGTTATCAGGTTGAATCTTCATAGGAGCCCTATTTTAGCCTATTTCACAGACCAAGAAAGCCTTGGACTTGCGAATCACTGGCCCAAGAGGAACCTCAACCTTTGTCTGGTCCTCGGGGTTTCCCATCCATGTTACCATATGGCAGAAATAAATAAGGCTCAAGACATCTAGGCGATGGGGGGGCGAGGGGGGCAGGATGAAATTGAGTGGTAGTACAAGGTGGGGTCAGGTGGCACTTGGGTCCCAGATGGCAGCCAGGGACTCTAAGACACACAGCAGAGCCTCATTACATGCGGTTGGGTGGTAGACTTCCTAGACTCTGAGCTTCCCAGGCAAAGACAGGCCCTGCAGCCTTCTGCCCACATCGGAGCCTTTGCTGGGCTTCCCTGCACTGCCCCCAGGCTGCTCTAAAGAGCCTCTCTCCCTTCTGACCCCACACACTGCTGGGGCTCCCTGGAGTCAGCCTAAGGGTTGGGGGGTATCTTGTGAGTTTTCATCTCATCAGTAGAGCCAGATCCCCCCAAGGCCTTGGGAAGCTGCCCAAATGCAGGACACCAGGAAGACCAGAGTGAAAAAGGCAGAGGCCAGGTGTCCCAAGCCAAGATCTTACAGACTTGATCTAGGGTGGGGGGACGGGAGGGGAAAGGGACAGATGCATGAGTCACTTTAGAGGAAGAAGCCCACAGCTGTGTGACCCACACAAGTGTCCATCAAGGGCCTGCCACATCCAAGGTTCTGCTCTAGGCATGGTTGTGGCAGCGAGGAGAGGGAAGTAGGGTGACCTTGGAAGTGTCAGTGCTGGCTGAGATTTGTGACCCAGAAGCCAGACGGCACAGCTCTGCTACCTGTGTGACCTCGGGCAAGCTCCCTGACTACTGTGGGCCTCGGCTTCTCTTCTCTAGAATGGGATTTCTAGTGGTACATAATTCATAGCCTTATGTGAGGATCAAACAAATTAAAGGTAGAAATCATGACAACAGGTCTTGCTCTGTGAATGTTCGTTATTATTTTCTGAATTAGCTCCTTCGTCACCCTATCTAGTGATATCCTTTCCTCCCTAGCTGTTATCACTGTATGACCTTATTACACCTGAGGTGGGTTCGCTTGTTTGTTCCCTGTGCTCCTTCCTCCTCGGGCTGCAAGATCATGGTGGGCAGGGAATTTGTTCTGTCGTCACTGAATCTTCAGTGTCTGGAAGAGTGTCTACCTAACATATAGCAAGGTCTCGGTACATACTTGCTTAGCAAATGAATCCAGAGGCTGCTAATGTCAGAGAGCTAAGAGAGGGCCTCGAACAACATTAATACTAAACAGAATACAGTAAGGCTCCATAGAAAGGGTATACAAAGCCACAGGGCTTTAAAGGAAAGAGAAATAGGGGCGCTCAAATGGCTCAGTTGGTTAAGCGTCCAACTTCAACTCAGGTCATGATCTCACGGTTCGTGGGTTCAAGCCCCGCATCAGGCTCTGTGCTGACAGCTCAGAGCCTGGAGCCTGCTTCGAATTCTGTATGTGTGTCTCTCTCTCTCTGCAACTCCCCTGCTTGCTCTCTGTCTCTCTCTGACTTTCAAAAGCAAATAAACATTGAAAAAAAATTTTTTTAAAGGAAAGAGGAATAAATCAGTTGAGAGTTCTCAGAAAGGTTTTGGAGGAGCAATACCCTGGGAGAGGGGTCGAGGAGGAGGAGGAGGAGGAGGGTCTCAAGAGATGTAGGTGGGGTGGAGGGTGTGGCTGGAGAGGGGGAATTAGTGAGAGCAAAAGCGGAGGTAGGGAAAGGTAGAGCCTGCTTCCCAGGTGGCCAGTGGTGTCCTTGGGCTGGTCTGCAGATGACAAAGGCTGGGGACAGATGACAAAGTCTGGCTGCAACAGGCTTTCAGTGTGTGCTTCTGAGGGTGAACTGTTCCCTGGGTCCCAGGAGGATTCAGTGCAGGCGCTCCCTGCTCAGCGGCATCTGGGCCCGACCCTTCCCTCGAGCTCGCCTGCGTTGGGAGTGACCCGTGGGTCGACACTCATGGTTGAAAAGACCCCAGTAGCTTTATGTCTTTTGTTGTTGTTTTTTTAAGAATGTAGAAACTGGGTTTTCAATTCCGAACTCGAAGACAGAGAACATAGCCCACCTTTAGGGCACAGTGGGGTTCCCCAAACATGAGTCAGCTTTGGGACAGATAAGCATTCTCTCCACAATGCCCAAGCACACAGGGTACCCAAAGACTTTACATTCTGCTTGACTCCTCAAAGGAAATTGTCTTCTCAAAGGACCACATGGGGAACAGAGTGGGAGCAACTAGCATGTGTGTGCTCTCCGATGTCTGGATGGAAACACCCAAATTTGTCCCTTCTGCACATATCTACCAAAAAAAGAACTCAACGTCGTCTATTTAGAAGGCGGTACCAGTTTCCTACCCCAGGAGCTGATGTTTTGTGGTTCACAGGGTAGAAAGGATGCCCTTTTCATGGATGTGTTTAATACCAAACAAGCAGTGAAAGTTAAAATAATTACCTGAGAACAATTGCCTATGTTTCTGTCATCTAATTAGTTAATCTGCCCAGGTGTTTAGCACCAAGGCCTCTATGCTTTAATTGGAAAAAGTCAAGGACAGAAACTAATTAGCAGCATTAATCCAAACCAGAAGTCTAATGATATTAACCACAAATCACCATCGCAATCAGGAACCTTTATTCTCAAACATTTTCGAAGTGGGGGAGGAGAAGAAAACAAAGTCGTTTGAGCTTTAGAATACCAACTTCTAACCACCAGTTGCGAGCAACCTTGATCCACTCTAAGAAACTGAAAGAATTGTGATTGACAAGGCACTAGAGATTTATAAGTGAATGAAAACCTCATCCATACCCTTGTTTCAGGCGAGAAAGAATGAAATACCATCTTAGATTCAACAGCTCTCCGTTCTGTTCATAGATTGACCCCCACGTCCCTTGTGAGTCCCCTCATCCTAATTAGAGATAAGAATCCACGTGGCCAAAACTTTCAGAGGACAAATAGATTTTTATGATCTTTTTTTAAAGTTTATTTATTTTAGAGAGCAAGCAAGACGGAGCAGGGGAGGGGCAGAGAGAGAAAGGGGAGAGAGAATCCCAAGCAGGCTTCCTAATGCCCGCACAGAGCCCGATGCAGGGCTCAGACTTACAAATCATGCGATCATTACCTGAGCTGAAATCAAGAATCAGACGTTGAACTGACTGAGCCACCCAGGTGCCCCAATTTTTATGATCTTAAACTCTCCTAAAACTTCCCTTTCATTCATTTCTGTTTTCTTTTCAATGGGAGAGAAAAATAACCAAATTCTACAAGAAAAATTCCTAATTCTAAGACAGCTGATGCACTAGGAGATCTATAAAGAGAACCACCGGGTTGTTTTTATTATGGACCTCTTCTGCTTGCATCTTGGTCTCCTTTCCAGAATTTTTCATTTCCTGTGGCATTTTTCTTAGGAGACCTGGTGGTTTCAAAGCACAAGGAGGGACAGTTCTGATTTGTTTTGTTTTTATCAGCTAACATAAAGTGACCTTAGAAAAATTTTAGATTTCGCACCCTGACATTTTAAGTGATTAATTAGCTAAAAACTCAAACTGGATGAAAAGCCCTATGGGGGATTGGGTCTCTGTCCAAGAATTAGGAAATTCAGACGCAATCCTTATTTGTTGCAACGGAGGAGAGTGTTTTTCCGTCCCCTCTGGTCTCCATCGATGACTTGGTTTTGTTAGTATCGCTAGCCAGACCCCCCCCCAGGTTAGTGCCAACTAACTCAAACTTGGACCCCCACCCCCCACCCACCCAGGAAAAGGAACTTGAACTGTCATTCTGAGGGCCATTCCTCCTCGGAATGCTTCTCATTCCCCACCTTCATTTCTGCTGCTACCCTTCCCCAGTGCAACCCCTGAATAGACAAAAATTTTTTAAAGAGAAAACTAACTTTCAAAGAGTAAAATCTAGGTAGTTGCATAGTTCAGTATCTGCCTTTTAGAAATTTAAAGAAAAGAAGGAAAGAACGAAAGAAAAAGAAAAAAGGTCTTCACCGTCTTTCCCTATAGAACGTGAACAGCTCTCTGCTTCATGAAAACATCCCTGTGTCCCAAACACTGGCCCCCTAGAGGTTGTGGCTTAGAAACCGGGGTGTAAATAAAACCTGTGTATAAGGTAATACCGCTGCTTCGGGAGGTGCCCCTGGCTTGTTTATTTATTTCCTTTTTTCAACCTCTCTTTGTTTGATACGCGCTAGGCTTTTCCAAGCCTAAACTACGAAACACAGCTCACGCTGAAGGGTTAAAATAATGCGGGTCATTACGGGGCTATTCCCGAGGACCACAGCCAACTTGCTGCAGCTGTTAGGAGGCCCAATTGCCGTCCACCAGGGAATTTGCTTATTTCTATATCACAGTCTCCCACCTTGATAAAAAAGAAAAAACACACCCATTTCATTTGGACTGTGTACTAAGAATAATTGCCACCAATATTGATTGGTCCTGGGGGACCCGGCTGAATTTAAAAATGGCAGACTGTGAAATCCCAGCTGATGTAGCCTCACGGAGCTTGCTGCTTATTTGTGACATGTTCCTATGTTTAAACTTATCTGCAAAAACTGTGAAATTAATATCCTCATGTTGAGTACAATATGGTGACACACCCGGCTGAAACACATGGTTATTTCTGTTCTGTTTTTAACGCCGGCGTCTGCCTGCGTGCACGCTGCTGCTGATCCCTCTGATGAAGAAGCATCTGTACATTTGTTTTCTATTTATTTTCAAGGTTCGAGCAAATGCGTGGGGTTGTTCACTTTCTTTTGCCGCACGTTTTGTTTCAGCGGGGTTTTCACCTGGAAAGGCTCTCCTGGTGGACTCTGGCTTGGGTGTCAGTGTTCCGCTGCCGTGTTAAGTTCTCCTTGATCGTGTGTGCTTCTAATGCGGGCAGCTGGAAGCGAGACATTTCCTGGCAGGTGCTTTCGTCTATGAAAAACAGAGAATCTTAACCCCCAATTCCATGGGACTAAGTTGCAAGGGTCAAACAGGACGAGGATGGAATTTTCAAATGTTTCTGTGATGAATCACAGCTAAGAAAGAAATCTTACTCGTTCGTTATTAAATCAGGCAGAGATGTGCTTTTAAGCCCCAGCGAAAAATATAAATGGCTGCGCGCATGGAAATTTCAGGGTTTCAGGGACTGTTACCATGACATAGAACAGCAGAGAACCGGGGCACTCTGCTTGCTGTTTGCCCAGTGGCTCTTTGTTTCATATGTCATTGTCACAGTCGTTGGGAGATCTCATCTTCCCTCCTCTCTATTCGGTTGTCCCTCACTTCCTCATATCGTACACAAATTACATGATCTGAGCAACCCCGCTTTTTAAAAACACATGCGTATAGAGGAAAAGCTGGAAATATATACACGGAAATTCCCAAAGGTCCTCTCCGCCTACTATGCGATTACCTGTGATTTTAATTGTCTTCTTTTTGCTTATCTCTGTGTCCTCAATTTCCTACGCCATCTATGTATCATGACAATAAAGGAACAATTGTTTAAAAAAAAGCCACAAATAGCATCACGTCTGTAGTTCATGTGCAAATTACATGTAATTTCACTTTACATCATTCAATGCGACAAGTATATTTATAAACAAAATATTTAATATTGCCATCAATCTTCCGACTTACATTTTATATTCAAAAGCTTGCTTTTATGTTAAGTGATTTCAAATTCACCCTGGTATATTCCAACGAGTAATGAAAATGTAGCTGTTCCTTCTTGTTTTTATTTACTTACTGGTCAGTTGGTCGGTTTCATTTGATCTTTGGAGGTAGGATTTCCTGCTCATTTTTGTTGAGGATTTTACTTTATTGTTATCCTGACGTTTCTAACAACGGGTCCCGGTGTACAAATCCAGGTGGTAACTAATGAGTAGGAAAGCCTGTAGAATGAGAAAAATAAATGCAAAACACACATGCACACACATGGTAGGCACAATTTATTTCACGATCCCAAATTTGGAGAACAGTTTTTTTTAACTGCAAACCAAGCCAGCAAATGTGCTTGTTTGAGAGAACAGCAGAAAAGTCTACATTCACTTACATCTCCAGTGGAGCCACCAATTAATGGAAATAACAACTTAATTTCTTTGCATACAGTTCTTCATACTTTGAAAATAGAGCATAAGAAACCAAGGTAAAGTATATTCCTAAGTACTTGGGAAAAACTGCTGGCTCCGGGGGGGGAGTTGAGAATCAACGTATTTAAAACTATTTTGAAGCTGACTTCACAATGTTGGTGTTATTTGTACAAAATATTTCTGCAGAAGCTGTCTTATAGTAGTTTGGGGCCCCCGCCCCACCCCACCACCAGCCTCAGGAAAATGTCACATTTGTGGTTCCAGACCTATAGACTCCGTGTGACAGGCTGACGGACTTCCTGCTGCCTGCTGAGCTGGGAGGTCCCAAGTCAGGATGTGAAGAGGAAGGGCTGTTCCTAAACTCAGCTGTAACCCCTCATTGGCGGGACTTGCTTGCATGAAATGCAGCTGAAGTTTGTTTTTATTGGGTATTACTGATTATTTTAATTTGTAACAGCAGATGTCTGGAAATGGAAGAGAAAGAAACTGGCAAAGTGGTCCCTCAGGTTATTGTCTCTAAGTCAGGTGGTCTGTTTGCAGTCACCATTCCCTAATTAGAAAACACAAAAGCTTCAAGTTCTAGAACCTTCTGTTCAAGTCTGGGCTCCCCTAGAGGTAATTACCAAAAAGTGATGTAACACTGTTTTTCCTTCGGCAGCCACATCCCTGCCAAATGGTATGGCTTTTTAAAAATAAATAAATAAGACAGAGGAGGAGGATGGGGAGGAGGATTTCCCCTCATTTAAATTTGGAAGGTTAATGGCTTGCACAGTCTCACAGACATTCCGCCAGAGACTCTTCTGGGGAGAAGGGGGAGGGGCTGCCCATCCCACATCAAAAACAGCACTTGGACAACTGCAGACAGTGCATGGTGTTGAGGTTGCCTGCAAACATAAATGATGGGTTTCTTCTGGACACGTGAGACAGACAAAGGACAGATTAGCATTTTTTCCCAGAGGCTGATGTATGGAACGTTCGCAGTGCAGCAGGTACCCAGGTGCGTTCTAAGATGTTTCCCACTCCGAAAGACTTTCTTAGGAGTATGTAGTTCAGGAAATTCTAGCCTGACTAACTCGACTTACAGAAGACAGGTTCAGGACAGCTACATCCAGGTGCCACAAGACCACAGATGGCCACTGTGTCACGGTGCCCCTGCCCAAGGCCCAGGGAGCCAGATGAAGGTTGACTGAGAAAAGAAATGGCAATTCAGCTGAGAAAGCCATCTCCAGCCATGGCCTGCCTCAGTGCCAAATGGTGACCCGGAGACCCGCCAGGTAAATTAAAATCCAGTTAAATTTGAACTTCAGATGAATAATGTAATTTTTTAGTTATAAATGTGTCCCAAATATCAAAACATTATACTATAGGGGCACCTGGGTGGCTCACTCAGTTAAGTGTCCGACTTCGGCTCAGGTCATGATCTTGTGATTGTGATTTCAAGCCCCACGTCGGGCTCTCTTGCTGTGCTGTCAGTGTGAGGCCTGCTTCGGATGCTCTGTCTCCCTCTCTCTCTCTGCCCCTCCCCCGCTTGCACTCACTCGCTCTCTCAAAAGTAAACATAAAAACAAACCAAAAGCTGTACTATAATTTAGTACATGTACTGCGTTCCAGGACATATTCTAAATTGCCTATACTTACAAAATTACACATAAGTCTATTATACCAAAACCTTATTTATTGTTGATCTGAAATGCAACATCAAATTAAAAAATATAGGGTGCGTTGGGGGTGCCTGGGTGGCTCAGTCGGTTAAGCATCCGACTTCAGCTCAGGTCATGATCTCAGGGCTCATGGGTTCGAGCCCCGCTTGGGGCTTTGTGCTGACTGCCAGCTCAGAGCCTGGAGCCTGCTTCTAATTCTGTGTCTCCCTCTCTCTCTCTGACCCTCCCCTGCTCACGCTGTCTCTCTCTCTCTCAAAAATAAATAAAACATTAAAAATTAAAATATATATATAGGGTGTCTTGTATTTTTATTTGCATACAGTGACTTCAGGGGGGTGGGATGGCCCCAGGCCCCATGGAAGAGTGACCCCTCTTCCGCTTCCTACCCCTCCCTGCTCAGAGGCCCCTCCACTGGAGAGGCCTTCCCTGACCATCCATATACCACCTCACCCCTTCCCACTCTCTCATCCCCTCAGCCTGCCTGACTCCCTTCCATAGCTTGTCACTGCATGACATACCACGTATTCTAAATAAGTGAAGTTTAGGGGCGCTTGGGTGGCTCAGTCAGTTAAGCCTCTAACTTCAGCTCAGTCATGCTCTCACAGTTTGTGGGTTCCAGCCCTGCATCGGGCTCTGTGCTGACAGCTCAGAGCCCGGAGCCTGCTTCGGATCCTGTGTCTCCCTCTCTCTCTGCCCCTCCCCTGCTCATGTTCTGCTTCTCTCGAAAAAAAATAAATAAATAAACATTAAAAAAATTTAAGTCGGTAAAATCTATTTCCCATGAATTCTACAAGACCAAGGACTTTTCATTTTTACTCTCAGCCCTCAGACTAGTGCCCACCACACTGCGGGCCTCAGCAGGTTTCTGTGGAATTGCAGACTAACACTGACCACGTGGGCAAAAGCAAAGCTCTGACATGAAAGCAGAGACTGAACTCAGAGAGGTTCGTGCAGCTGCGTGGCTCGCCCAGGAGCTCTGTCGGTCAGTGCTCCCCGGATGCTCACCCGCTGATCCCATAGGTCTGATGTGGGCTTGAGATCCCACATCCCTAACCAGCTCCCATGGCAAAGGGAGTATTTAAGAGAGCACAGATAAAGGTAAAAAGAAAGAGATCACAACCTGAGGATCCCACAATTCTGTCATCAGAGGAAGGCACCATGGGGTGGGGAATCTAAGTTACTTGATCAACAGTATTTTATAAACAGAAATTAGAAATCCAGTCATCCTGAATCTAGAAGGTCCATATTTCAGAAACTATTATTAAAGCTCCTTTCGCTCGAAGGGGGGAAGAAACGAACACAAGAATAATAACCGTTGTCACGGATATGATTTAATCAGGCCACAAGAAAAGCGTTAACAGGTGTCACGAGCAGAGGTGGTGCCTGCCTTTTCTTGGTGACCTTGAATTCTGTATTGAATTCAGTCTCTGAACACCTGGAGAGCTCTCACTGACCACACTCTGGCAGTGTGCACCACGAGAGTATGGGACGCTTCCTCACTTCTATGCCCAGAAAGTAACCAAAAGCTTACTTAAAAAAAAAAGTTATTTTCTCAGAAGAAACCTTCTGAAAGATTGAATTCAGAGTCTGTACATGCCTGTGGGTGTGTGGGAACCTACCTGTGACATCCACTCCCTAAGATGCTCCATTTTCTATGAATTAGGAAAGGGGCTGAAAGTAACTACCACAGACTCATTTTCATGATCAGGCTGCTACCCTTTTAAAAGTTTCCATGTCGTTTCAATTGTGATCATGTAAACAGAACTCATGCTTACTGTCATTTCAAAAAAAAAGTCAGAATAGAATAAATTGCCACCCATACCCACTATTTTTCTTCTTTCTAAAGTACGGAAATGGAAAAGAAATCACCTGTTCAGCACAGTCTATCCAAATGCTTCTTATAATAAAAACCGAAACAGGGGCGCCTGGGTGGCTCAGTTGGTTGAGCCTCTAACTCTGGATTCCAGCTGAGGTCATGATCCTAGGGTCATGGGATCAAGCTCCATGTCAGGCTCTGTGCTGAGCATGGAGCCTGCTTCAGATTCACTCTCTCCCTTTCCCTCCACCCTTCCCAACCCTTCTCTAAAAAAGGGGGCACAGTGCCTGGGTGGCTCCGTGGGTTAAGCATCTGACTTGATTTTGGCTCAGGTCATGATCTCCTGGTTTGTGGGATTGAGCCCTGACATTGGGCTCTGTGCTGATAGCTCGAAGCCTGCTTGGGATTCTCTCCCTTTCTCTCAGCCCCTCCCCTGCTTGTGCACATGCCCATGCACTAGGGTGCTCTCGCTCTCGCTCTCTCTCTCTCTCTCTCTCAAAATAAACAAACAATTTTTTAAAAATTAAATATAAAAAATAAATGGATAGCTTAAATCCGGCCTATGATTAGGAATAATAGGCATTTAAAATTCAATGACAATTTAATTCTTTGGAAATATCACCAAAAAGTTTATAATCTGGGAGACCCATGTCTAGCCTCACCTGTGTGGTTTGGCTTCAGGAAAGAATCCTCCATCTCTGGGCCTCGGTTTCCTCTTCTAGAAAGTAAGAGAACTGTGGAGCACCTGGGTGGCTCCGTTGGTTGAGCGTCCAACTTCAGCTCAGGTCATAAGTTCGCAGTTTGTGGGTTCGCACCCCGCGTCGGGCTTGATGCTGTCAGCGCAGAGCCTGCTTCAGATCCTCTGTCCCCTCTCACTCCATCTCCCCCCTCAAAAAACAAACATTTTGAAAAAAGAGAATTGAGCCAAGTTACCTTGAAGATTTTCTCCAACTGTTGGTCTATCATTTCTCACATCCTTTCAACCAAGGTGCCAGCAACCACAAGGCTGTGCTTCCTTGAGAAACAGCGCCACCTTCGGGTCACAATAACCATAACAGAGCTGTTGGGGCTTTGCTTCTCCAATGGATGAGCGGTATTTGCCGGATTAACAGAAACCCGTCTCCCTCCTGTCCTCTGGGACGTGGTCACACATTTGTGAGTCTGCCAGCTAGGTTAAGATCAATGTGTACGGACACGGAGCCAAGCTGAGCTAACTGGCCCACAGGGGACAGATGCATGACCTCGGTCTAATCATCATAGCCCCCAGCCAGCAGAGCTCACCCACAGAACAATTTCTGGTGGAAGGCAAGGAAATGAGGAACATACTAGACCAACTGAATCCTCTCAAACAATAACCATTTCGACAATTCCACTTGAGACAGTTTCCTCCTGTTCTGATCTTAGTAAGATGTCATTGGGAGGTGCTCTTGCGTACTTTTGCTAAGGAAAATTACAGAACAGACTCTTTAAGCAAATAACATTTTTTTTCCACACAGCAAATATTTGTTGAGCCACCAACGGCTCAATGTCCTCAAAGCCAACACAGTGCTGAGGGATCTCACAGAAGTATTTTTATTAAATTCCCACAATAGCCTTTGCCAAGACAGGAATTAAGATCCACATATTTCAACACAAGGAAATTGAGAGTCAGAGAGGCCCAGAATGAAGGCTCTTGCCTGCAAGCTTGAATATGCAGACACACATGTTTTCACACAGCCCTCCTGTGTAGGGATGAACCTCAGTCAACATGCCCCTTTTCAAGAGCTCATATCTCAGCACAGTGTTTTCTGACCCATTGCAACCAGCAGACTGGAAGCCAAGGCAGTTTGAGCACGTGATTTCTTTCTTTCAAGTGCGAGGCATATGCAGAAACTGGCCCTACCTTTGCCAGCCACCCTCAACTACAGTGACCCAAACCGCTGTTGAGTGAGGTCCCTAGAAGGTGTGATATAATAATTTGCTACTAAGTATCACCATTTTGAAATGATGACACTTCGGAGAAATAGAGTAGAGAACATTTAAGATTGTCCCATGGATAACATCCCATCACCCCCCTAGATTCCATGGGTTTTCTGGGCTGGGCAAAGGCACAGAGAAAGTGCTAGCCCAGGGAATGCATCATATCTGGAAGTAGGTGCCCTGGGCATCACTGAGGAAAGAGGTGGAGAGCCACTGCTCCATGCCACGGTGCTCGGGGCTGCGTATCTCACACTTCCCTATGTTCCCATATGCCTACATGATTGTACTTGGCAAGATCGATTTTCTAGTCTTTGTAGGGCCCACTAAACAGCATACTGGGCACATAAATATTTGTGATGCACTAAGGGAAAGAATATGGTCTCCGTGAAGAAAAGAGGAATGATATTAGCTGGGGGAATCAGACGTCCTTGAGATGACAGCTCAGTTATTTTAGGATGGAGCCTAAAGGAAAGAGCCTGGCTACAGGAGGGATAGGAGGGAATGTCTATGAATTTTGGATTCTGGGTAGAAGTCAGAAAAGACCCAGATGGATGAAGACACCAGAGTTGGCTTGACCCGGGGCGCCTGGGTGGCTTAGTCGGTTAAGCGTCCGACTTTCGCTTAGGTCATGATCTTGCGGTTCGTGGGTTCGAGCCCCGCGTCGGGCTCTGTGCTGACTGCCAGCTCAGAGCCTGGAGCCTGTTTCAGTCTGTGACTCCCTCTCTCTCTGACCCTCCCCTCCTCACGCTGTCTCTCTCTCTCTCTCCTAGAAATAAATAAAATCATTAAAAAAAAAAAAAGGAGTTGGCTTGACCCTTTGGGGAAGGAAAAGTTAAGATCTGACCTCTGAACCACAAGGCAGATGCCAGAAAATGAAAAAATGATATATTGTATAAGCGAGGAATTTTTCAGTTTTAAGTACAGTATCTTCTCATGTTCAGAAAATTGTGTTTCTCAGGGTTGAGTGATGACCAAGTAGTTGCAGCTTAATTAGAAGTTGAGAAAGAAACGCTTGACCTTGGCTTCCCAGTTTGTGCATGGAACTGGAATTGGCAGTGTTCATTCCCTACTGTCTCAGAAGCCAAGGCTAAGAAGGAGGAAGCCAGCCTGGCTCAGGGCTGGTGGTCACTCCACAGAGGCAACCACCGATCATGAACAGGAACAGAAAAGCAGAAATGTCTACACAGCATGCGTTCCTGGAAAACGTACTGTACAGCGAGCCTCAAGAACGGGAGCAGCGGCTTAGCTAATCCCGGCTGAAGCCTGGTGAGACCCGTCTCCAGACCCAGTAGTGATTCTAGATTCACGATCCATTGTCAACCGTCCATGCCATCCAGGTTTCTCATCCCGCTAGCCTTCTCTTCTCTTTCTTTCCACCCACCTTCAATGACCCCTGCCTCCTTTTCACAATAACTAATCTGCAGGAGGCTAGGCCAACAGAGAAGCAATGACATCTCCCAGAAGGGTGAAATCAATGGATGGAAACTGGTTGTACCTGAATGGAGAGACTAGTACTTGTAGCGGGTGAAGAGGAGGAAGGACAGGTATCAATGGGCACCAACTGGTGACTGGCAAAGAGGCTTTAGGTCTTTCAGTTCCTCAAATGAACCGGGCTTCAAGACCTGCCAGCCCATAAGGCCACTTGGGCAAGGGAAGGAAGGATGTATCCTTTGAGCCAGGGCTGCCCAGCTGTGGGCGTGGCGTGAAAACGATGCCTTCATGGGAATGCCAGGCTGCACCTGAGCCCCCATGCACCGCCACCCCCCACCCGCCCTGTTCCACTGGTGCATGGTTCCTTGGGCATTTACTTGGGCTGTTGGGTCTTCCTGAAATGCTACACACCACAAGTCTCACGTTACAGTTGGCTGACTCAGGTCAGCCTTCCCGGCCTCTCCCAGCTGAACGTGCTCATTTTCCATTCTCACATCACCCCGTACTCCACCTTAAATAGCCTCATCACAATCACAGCGCTTGTGGAATTGTCTTTCTCTGGTGACTGCGTAAGCTCCTAGGGAGGAGGGTATGTGTCCCCCGTGCTCACTGCCGGAAGCCCCGTGCATGCCAGACATGGGCGATACAACTCAGCAAATGCTTCGGAAGACGTGCATGATGAAATGAATGGAAGGTTCAATGTAGGAGTCATAAGAAGCTGCCTTATCCTTCTAAAGGGAATGGCTTGACCCCACCCCCAGCTGCGTGTAGCCTCGACATGTCAGGACAGTCCCTGTATCACATGCTGGGTCCTCTATCGGGCTGGGTCCTCTTAGCAGCTTATGGAAGCTAAGGCAGAATGTGCCAGGGTCTTCTGTGCTTGCACCCCTACTTTTCTCACTTGCATCCATAAGACACACATTTTGTGCACGTTACAAAAACGTGCTTCCCCAGACTGGACAAGAGAAGAAAAATCTCACGCCATAGAGGCCATCTAGAACAGTCGAGGGACTCCCCAGGTTTGGAATACACGGCTGCCAGTGTTTTCATTTCATGGTATCTGATCACCTTTGACTCATTCGGAAAACGTTTATTGGGGTACCTCCTAGGTGCACCAAGCACAATCTTAGCCGCTGATTTTCCCAATCTTGAGAGAGCTTTTTGGATCCCAAGATGTGTCAATGGCTTCTGTTTCACAGGCCAAGAAAGATGGAAAGCCTGACATCTTAACTGCAGTACATTAGACTTGGTCCACAACATAGAGAGTGTGGTTAATAGCATTAATTTGATTGGCCCCCTGGGTGGCTCAGTCAGTTAAGCTTAAGGGGTTAAAGCATCCAACTTAGCTCAGGTCATGATCTCGTAGTCTGTGAGTTCAAGCCGCATGTCGGGCTCTGTGCTGACAGCTCAGAGCCTGGAGCCTACTTAGGATTCTGTGCCTCCCTCTCTCTCTCTGTCCCTCCCCTGCTCACGCTGTCACTCTCTCTCTCTCTCTCTCTCTCTCTCAAAAATAACATAAATGTTTTTTTAATGTTTAAAAAATAAAAATAAATAACATTAATCCAATTTACAAAGGATGTGTGTTGAATAACCACAAACACAACAGGACAGTGATTTCCTGCTTACAAAAGGGTACTTGCTTGTGGACTATTTCCGGGAGCACCAGACTAGGTTAAAGATCTTTAGGGTCTTTTTTTTTTTTTTTAAGTTTATTCATTTATTTTTGAGAGAGAGAGAGAGAGTGCACGGGGGAGGGACACAGAGGGAGGAAGGGATAGAATCCCAAGTAGGCTCCATACTGTCAGCACAGAGCCCAAAGTGGGCATCAAACTCGCAAACTATGAGATCGTGACCTGAGCCGAAATCAAGAGTCAGAGGATCAACCAACTGAGCCGCCCAGGGACCCCTAAAGATCTGCAGTTATAGGGGCACCTGGGTGGCTTAGTCGGTTAAGCGTCCGACCTTCGTTAGGTCATGATCTCGCAGTTCGTGGGCTCGAGCCCCGCATAGGGCTCTGTGCTGACTGCCAGCTCAGAGCCTGGACCCTGTTTCAGTCTGCGACTCCCTCTCTCTTTGACCCTCCCCTGCTCATGCTGTCTCTCTCTCTCTCTCTCCTAGAAATAAATAAAACATTAAAAAAAATGTTTAAAAAAATCTGCAGTTATATAAGGAGGCATTAAGAAACTATATTTATATTATTACGAGGGGATCTTCAGCCTGCTGCCCAGCACAGTTATGTCTCCCATTGGGCCAAGCAGCCCCTCCCCCACGACCTCCCACCCCTTCCTCACAGCCCAGCCTCCCCTGCTTGGCACAGCAGTTGCTGTATATTTTTAATTCTGT